TTACCTTTTCACGTTCCAAATTTGTCAACTCGAGTAACGTACTCTGACTTACTCTTTCCGCCACTACTCCGGGTTCTTTAGAGTTACTCGGAGTGAATTTTGGAACGCACCCCTGTACGTCGGAAACTGTATGATTGACGTAAAGAATACATTTGTTATCTTACTGTTATTAATTCTGCCTATTTTACTGTTTTCTCGCCTTACTCGTTTTCCAAAAGATCCTTCGTTCCCGACTACGAACCACCCCCTCTGCCATTATCGTGGCTGAGCAGTCGGTTATTAGAGCCGTCCGCATTCGTGAGTCTCTACATCTCAGTATTTTCGAGTGAGAACGTACCGAAAAGATTCAAGAAAGAATGGCACGCTCTCTCGTGCCTGGCGTCCAATTATTGACGTGAAGTTTAGAGTATGTAAAATTTGAGAAAGCCGTTGTGGCGTTGAGCTTTTTTTTTGTTGTCGCGAGGATACCGACTAAAGAGAGGTAGAGTAATACTCGCGAACGCGCGACGAAGTGGCACCACGCTCGTGAGTGCGGTCGCATAATATACATAATTAATTTTGTAAATTAATTATCATAAAGTTGTACAAATAATTACAATTGTTCATAATTAATGTCTTTATAATATTCATACAAGTTCCTAGTTCCAAATTATTTTAATAGAATGTTTAAATTGTATTTGAACAATGAATTTGTAAAAATATCAATAGAATAAAATCTTATACTCATATATGTAATCTCCTAAAATCAATATTGACAAAAGAAGTGATAAGTTTTCGCGTTTAGTACTTTGCCTTGTGCCGTTCCTGAACGTGCCAACTTTAAACGATATGATTCGTTAACTTTAAACGCTTATAATTCAAAAGTTATTATAGCCTCAACATTTTAGTATTAGAATTTTCGTCTCAAAATGATCTCAAGAATCTGCCCTTAAGCGTTGTTCGTCTCTTTCCTGGGCACCCTATATATATATATATATATATATTGCAGTGTCTCGGCGCTAATATATTTAACATATATATTATATTATTGGCTCCTTCGCTCCAATACAAATGTGATGTCATCATCATCAGTTGCTCTCCTACGCTTTCTACCATATCTCCGCCCAATAATTTTGGCGTCTTTTTCGATTTTTCCGGTCGTCTCGATCAACACACAGAACACCTTATTCATACTTGCCATGACATCAACGGTGCCAAGCCTGGAAAAAAATATCTAAATTACCAATGCGAGTAAATAGCAAAGTGCTTTAGAATATCAGATCTAAAAATTGAGAATATCAACCCATCATACTGATAAATTTTATCATATATTTCTATCAAGACTAAATCTCGGTATAAATATTTTCTAATCTAGTCCAAATGGATCAACATACAATTAACTTTTAACGATCACATATCAGTAAAATGCCGTAACTGTCGCACATAATTGTAACTTACATAATGTCAGGTCAAGACGATGTCATTCCCCAAACTTTGGATGGTTTAAGAAGTGTAAAATGTGACTTATTTTATGTAATTCTACATTTTAATCTAAAACTTAGCAAAAATCACAAATAATTAGTGAACCAAACTTTCATGGGATTCCAATGTAAGCGTTAAATGTTAATAATAATTTACACTATTAAATATTGGATTAAGAATAAAATACTTACATTTGTCTCAACAACTGATTGTTATCGCACAGGTCCAAATTTATTTTGAAGCCATATCTTGTATCGATGGTAGAAACTCTTTGAAGGACCCGTAATCGTTCAAATAACTCCGCGGTTTTTTGCACTAATAAATGTGCTTCGCCAATTAACCCATTACTGCACTCAATCATGTTATTGATGTTGGCCATTTATACGCAGAATGAGCGACTGATCAAGTGACAAACTCTACAAGCGGACTGACTGACTGTGGAAGCTGTGCGAGATTTTATAGTAAAGATGTACGTGACAACATGATATCATTTTGAAAAAGAATCCTCAATCCAAGTACAGCCAAAAGTGCAATGCTCTGGTCAAAAAGTGTATGTCTCAGGAAAAAGTATATGAGAAGACGTTGCGTTCAAAAGATTCCATGAAGAAACTTCAGCATTATATCTGCTATAATTAGATCTAAGCTTTATATCAGCAGTAAAAATATAATATGTCAGTCAAAAGTATATTGTTTCGGGCAAAAGTATATCTCGCGTCCAAAAGATTCCACCTCAGCACTTTTAACTGTTGCAGCTCTTCGCATATTTTTGAAGCGCAATTAAACATATATCTAACGAACCGCTATCAGTACACAGTCGAACCGTTATCGAACAGCTATCGAACTGCCATCGAACCGCTATCGGTACACTGTAAACAGCTGTAAAACAAATATCAATCCGCTATAAATTGCAATAAACCGCAATCGAACTAATATATTATAAACAGCT